AATTAAGATGTAGATGAACTCTACTAGAAGTTTCTTCCTCTTGGGATCAAATAAGTCCTGAAAATAATCCGTATATAACCACAGGATTCTCGTCGTCCGAAGCTATTTAATATTCTGCCAACAAAATTTCCTTTATTTTCCCATTAACTTTATACACGGTCAAATGTCTTCTCCATTTATGATTAGGCCCTGCTTTTGAGCAAGCAAATTGATCACTCCTGTTGAATGGATCAGACATGATGTAGATAGCTTAGCTTCTGAAGCCGGATGGTTTTGAAAGTCATAATTTCCTGTCTCGCCAACTATGCTGCGATTCAACTCGGTCGCCAGAGTAATTGTCGAGTTGCGTATTGTGGAAAACCGTGCAGGATCGTCACTTTCATTTCCAGTCACTCTATTGTCGTTTGCTTTGGAAATCGCCACTCCGCCCCCTCTTAAATACCTTCGCGTCCAGTTTAGGGGTGTGCAAAGTGACCTTTTCGGGTTCCATCTCAGCTGGCTAGGATTGGACGAGTGGATCTCGGCAGATTCACGATTCAGATGATTTTTCTCCTCCAGTCCCTTGGAAGTTAGGCTATGTTCAATATTTTGCGTTGGGAGGATTTTATTGCATATGACCTTTTTGGGGCTGTGAATATGTACATGTGAAATCAAAGCATGTGACCCGTCGGAGGGAAGTTGTGGGCGCCTAAGACGGTGTTGGTGAAGACGCAGTTCTACTAATGAGGTGATTAGTGCTAGGATCAAGCCAACTGTGAGGATATAGAAGACGCCGGCAACGTTGATTAGAGCCAAGGCTTCAGAACTCGACTGTTCGTCGACGTCGTTGCACTGTCCACGCTCGATCCACCACTTTTTGCGTAGGCTGAAGAGAACTTGAGCTTCGCGGAGACGAGCGATAGCTAGACTGATCTCTTCCTTAAACGGGGATTTTCTAGGCAGGGCAATACCGTAGCCATTATTACCGAATGGTTCACCAACCATCATCGTATCGCAGGGGTCCCTGTTGTTGTAATATTCATTCATAAGAGACTCAAGCACAAAGGCGTATTTGCCCTTTGAACGCCAGACTCGGTCGACACCATTTTGAACGGAGTCAGCGAACCAATGTGGATTTTGTACCATACGACGGCCCATAGATCGGAATGGTTCAAGTCGTGTGTGGAGAAAAAAGCCCTTTGTCGATCCAGAATTGAGAGAGCCATATTCGATGTCCGAGTGTAGCAGGTCTTCCCACCCTTTAATGGGCGGCACACGCCGAGAAACTGTCAAAAATGCTGCCAGGTTAGCTGTATAGTAGGCAATCATAATCAGTGTAAAGAACCACCACGAAGAACTAAGCACTCGGGCTCCTGGAGATCTGGGTGCAAAATCGACACCCTAGTAAAAATCGAAATTAGACTATTATTGTATATAGCAAATCTGTCTACTCAAATGATTTCAGTAATATGTATAATTAGTTCTAAGTTTTTCTGTCAACCATGTACAGTGTTGAGCTTACCTCAATTTCCAGTGAAAGCGTTTGGTGAAGAGATATTCTAGGCTCGATCCCGCCAGTGGATTCCTCTTGATCAGCTGTCGATTGACGTTACTGGAACATTCTTGTTGACGCTTTTTATGAGGTAATTTCCTTCAGCTCCGGTAAAAGCGTGCTGAGCTTTCGTCGGTTGTATGACGAGTGTCATCATTCTTAATTGTTGAGCTTACTTACATTTCGAGTGAAAGTAAAGAGATTCTAAGGTCGGTTCCATCAGAAGACGACGGCGGATTTTCTTGGACAACTGTCGATTAACTTTACTGGAAGATTCATTCTGATGCTGTTTCTGAGCTAATCTCCTTCGATTCCAGTGAAAAGGTGATAAGCTTTCCTCCGTCATATGACGTACATCATCAGAGCGAGGTAACATCGTCACAACAAAATTCAGGCTAACGAGTCAAGAAGCAATCTGCCATCGTCTTTTGGTGGAATCGACCTTCGAATCTCTTCACCCAACACTTTCACTCGAAATGGAAGTAAGCTCAACAATTATGAAACAAGAGATTTTTCGAAACCCAACTTTTCTTCATTAATGCTATAACAGAGAACGCAGACCAAGCTGGGAAAACGAGATAAAAGCAACATTACAACTTTTATTCGCATATGTCATCCTTAAAACCAAGTTCAAGCAAGCGAATGAAGAAAACTAGAAAGCTTAGCACGTTTTTGCTAGAATTGAAGGAGATTGTTTCGGAAATAGTGTCAACAAAAGTTTTCCAGTAAATCCATTCGACAGATGGTCAAGAGTAATCTGCCGTCGTCTTCTGGTGGGATCGAGCTTCGAACGTCTTCAGTAAACATTTTTACACGAAATGGAACTAGGCTCAACAATTATGAAACGAGCGA